ACCCCCTTTCCTTCCCTCCTTCTCTTTTCCGATGGTTTTTCTTCCTCTCCCTCGCCTCAAGCGCTCAAACCCCACCTCGCCTCCCTCTACCAGCTCTTTCTCATCTGCTACACTGCCATCCCTTCCCCACCTTCTGTTCTCTTACCAACCGGGCCGCACGAGAATACATATTTTACAGGCATTCATGATGGCCGCCGCACATCTGTGCGAACCTGCCTGCTGGGCTGCCTCTAGCTTGCCTCGGGCAGGCTCGCCCCCTTCAAACCAGAGCGATACCGGATCTGCCCAGGCTAAACCTGCGTTGTCTCTCTTACTCTCTTCAACTACAATCCCACACTATTTGGATGCATCGTAGGATTAATTCGTTCAGTTTTTATACATTTTATGATTTGATAGGAGAGCATCGAATTATTATTTCTCACTCGATAATATTATTTTTCATTCACATTCTACGAAGATAAATGTTGAATAAAACTGAACACATAGCACGTGTGAAAGATTCTCTCTTCTTTATAAAAGCTTATTAAAATTAAGAATAGTGAGTGTAGTGAGAATATCTAGACGTTTCAAAAGAGTGAGTGCAAAGAAGTGAGATATTAAATAATACTTTGTAAAGAGATAATATCTAAGTGAAGTTATGCAAGAAGATTTATTCAATTTAAAATTGAATGTGTTAAAAATGAACCAAAATTTAACAATGCAATAATCTATAAGAAAACACAAAACAAACTATGTTTGTTATTATCAATGATAATAAAATACTTCAACCTTAAAGTACATATATAAAGTTGATAAGCTGAGTTACAAATAAATATATTAATTATCTTATGGCATATGTTAATAATGATTTTTTTTTTAATAACAATTTCTTCCAATTACATATTCACGAATTATCGTATAAATTTATACATCCCCACACTCATACACACGTATATATAACCAAGCGGTAGAATATGCGACACTGGCACTAAGCTATAGGTCTAGATATATCAGCCAACTTCATTGTTGCTGCGTAGAAAAGAGGACAGATCTATATCCGCACAAAACACGACCGAAATTGCAGTAATAATCCCTCTCGCGGCTGTATCATGGTTGGAAGAAAAGCTACAGATAATAAGCGAACATGTGCTTTGTGGGTTAACTGCTCCTTTCCACTGTACGATCCTTTGGCCGATTTGGTTACAAGTGCGCGCACTGATGGTCATTATTATAATTATGAAACCTGCGTTGATGTAGGTATACATATATCCTATTACCTACCTATTATTCTGACGCGACCCTTACTCCATTATACTCAGACCTGTGTCTTCGAGCTACCTTTCACTCTCCAGTTTTACGACGATTTACCGTGAGATGCGCGCGAAGTTATTGCCACCGATTTTAGTGCACCTATGTACGCTTATGACTACATCGGCTCTCGAAGGCGCAAACCTGGCCAGCTATGTTAAAACCTCGAGGGAGGATCGAGTTTTCTGTCGGTGGCCTCGCTCTCGTTTCTTTTTTCGCGGGATCCAGACGATTAAGTTCGGATTTTCATGGTGGCGTCCTACAGCCGTGCTTCTTTATGTGGTATCGCTTAACTAGATACCATGAAATTCCTTTGCATATATTAGGATTTCAGTCGCGAGATACAGTGGCGTAGAATCAAGGAAAAGTATAAACTTAATAAGACGAAGAAATTAAAAAAAAAATGATTACATTGTACGTCTTACACATTCTCTTGAATCTTTAATATCCCTTTAATATCACGTTTGGAACACTTTATTACAGTTTTATATATAAGCTTTAAATATATAAATTGTAAATTATAAGTATTTTATATACAAATAACTTTTTAATAGATAATTTAAAAAATTAAAGTAAATCTCAAGTAAAAGATTCATTTTGATTACATCTAATTTTGAAGAAAGGAAAATAAAAATACATAGAGGTTTCTTCATGCTTGAATTTTGTTAACATAAAATTTGTCATTGGTTAATCAATATTATATTGACTTGATGTAATTCTAAAAAGACTATACCAAACCAAATGAGCTATTTATAATGAAAGTCCTCTCTGAAATGTTGATCAATTTTCTTACTTTTATAAAATATTGTAAAGAAATGTAACAAGTTCTAGGAGGCACGATTAAATATGTATATTGATACTAGAATAATAGATAAATGCCAACTCAGTGAATAAAATCGATGTCATTAGTCTCTGTTATTCTCTTAGTAAAATTTTTGGTAAAATGATTAAAAGTCACAAAAGATTTCTTTTTTGTAAGAAATAATGAGAAATAAAACCAGACATCAAAAGAGTTTAATGATACAGTCTGGCATTACAGTTAAATAAACTGACGCTTTAATTCGCAAGAATAGTGAACAAGAGATTAACTGACTATGATTGAAGCGCTTAGCTTGTTCTGCTAAATTCCTCCTCATAAACATCACTTACTACTGATTTAATGTGTATACGCTTATACATGCATTATGTATGTGACAATGGGAGTCTATAAACGAATGTTTTGGATTGTGTTGTACAGATGGCAGCACCTGCCAAGGTATTCCATGAAGGTCAATATTTGAAGCTACGGAACTATCAGAGTTTTAATAAAAGAAAATTTAATTAAACAATAGCTTTTGGAAAATCTATATTTTTGTTTGTTCCACTATTATCCCAACATCTAATTAAACTTATTACCAAGCTTTTTTAATCTCGTTATGTAATAAATCATCAATTACAGAATATTAAAGTTAATTTTATTTGAGAAGAACTTATTCCCTCTCGTATTTTTAAATGTTGTATTTGTTAATTTTTACACACGCAATCTTATGTTAAATATATTACGTAATATGTTTTATCTATGTAAACTTAATATTGCAACGCCGGCTAGCACATAAAAATCTGAATCACTGTTCTTTAAATGTTCACAGATTTACTGGCGACCCGTTTCTCTCGATTTACGGATAAACTACTCGTCGAATTAATAATTTTCGCTACCGTGGGGTTTCTGTAGCAAACTCACGAGGTCGTAACCTTACCTGCACACTAGACAAAGAGTAAGCCGAAGAGCCGCGGGCGTGAATGAGAGATGGAGAAAGAAGGAAAGTAAAACGAAACCACAGGGCAGCTCACAATACACTCGTACCCTCTCTCTTTCACGTAACAGAGCGTTGCCCAATAAAAACGTCACGAATTCAGGGGCAAAGAGTTTCTGAGTGAACACCGTCTGGTGGCGCCAGGTTACACCACGTTCCTGATCCACGGGGAGTTGCGTAAAGCTCACTGACTCGCTATCACACGCAAAGAGTCAAGGAATGGTGGGGAGACTGTGGAACGAGACGATATCTCGCACACACAGAGACGCGGCGAAATCAAATCGACGCTAGCGCGCTTCGCAGGAAGGGCGAGAAAGCAGCAGGACTAAGCGTCAAGGAAAACAGAGAGAATATCATGAGGAAATCAAAGTTAAAGGGAGAAGAACGTAAACGGAGACAATGAAAGGCAAAGAGAAATCTATGAGAGAGAGAGAGAGAGAGAGAGAGAGAGAGAGAGAGAGAGAGAGAGAGAAAGCTGCATAGAACTGTAGGGTGGATGAAGAAAGCGTAAAAAATAGACGGAGTAAGTGAGAAGGCAGCAGAGAGAAAGGAACAGAGAAGGGTTGATCGATTCTGAGAGAAACAGAAGATGATGGAGGAAGTAGACAATGGAAGAGAGACAGATGCAGAGAAAGAAAGAGAATGGGGTACGAATGAATAGAGTACGTGTAAAGGAGAAAGAGAAGTTGCTCGAAAGCTATGAGAAAGACAAGGAGCGGAAGCTTGGCAAGAGGGAGGAAGGTAGAGCTATAGAAAGGGGAAAAGAGACGGAGCGAGAGGGGTTGGTCGACCCTGCGCGTTATCAAGAGCCGCCCCTCCCGGTTGCTCCTATATCCACCCCGACTTTATATACCCCCCCGTGCATCCAGAGAGTACATGCATTCGTGTGTGCGGTGGTGAAAACCCACACAACATTGACGTGGCTCGTCCCTAGACGTAGCTGGGCGCAGAGCGACGCCGCATGGCGTCGGCGTCGCGAGGTCGTCCCAGCGCTAACTCTCTAACGACGGCATCGTCGGCCAACCGCCGCCGGAGGAAGCCGCTTCTTCGTAGCTCGTAACACGTTCCTGGATGACCGGGACGCCTGGACGGATCGGAGAACCCGAAGGACCGGGCACGAAGAGACGAAGAGACCCGATACCCGCGAGTGACGTGCAACGCCGAAGCGCCGCGACGCCGACAGTCGTCCGCGGGACGCGTCACGGTCGTCTCACGAGAGACCGAGGGCGTTTATACCAGCTGCATCGTCCTCCAGTTAGCATCTGACGTATGAACGACACACGTCTCTAATCATCCCGCCTTATCTTCCAGCGTCAGTTTTTTTTCATAATTTTTTTTTTATTCCTCGCCTGTGCGCATTCTTTCCCATTCTATCCGTTCTCTACGCCTCCCCCATTTTCGTCTCGTCTCGACTCGCCCGTTCTCGAATCCATCTCTCTTTATCCTTGATTGCGTCGAGCGTTCTGTCCTTCGAGCCACGACTCAGCGAATCGGCGAACGAAACGGAGCACATCCACCGTGAACGTCACTCGTAGCATGTAGACCGAACGGAGCTGTCATTCGTACGTCGCGAAGACGAAATCGGAGTGCCTTCTGTGATTGATAATCCTAAATGTCCCTTCGGACTCCTCAGTGTGCGGTGCTTGATGTATATCGGAAAAGGATCATACATCAGATTTCACATATCGGTTGATTTCAGTTGGCGATGCTCGAATAGGAGATCTACGTGATGATGATATCTTCAAAATTAACCCGATCGCAGAAGGGGAGACTCAGAGAAAGGACGGAAATGTAATTACCTAATAATATCAGGTCAGTAGACTTTTGAATTTCTTGTTCTATGGTTTAAAAATATTTTCAGACATATTATAACGATCGTGCATGATAAATGTATGGTAACAATGCATGCTTATTGGGTAAACGAATATTGATCGATTATTACGCGAGCTGCCTTACATTTCGGTGGAAGATTTCCGCAATAGCCCAAACAGCAGGCAACCAGTCAGACATCTCAGCATGCTGGGCTTACAAACTCCATGGACTTTTGAGAACCATGATTTCGTCATGGGTCGTGAACTAATAAGGTCGTTTTATGACCGTTTAGGCACCGTTTTTTTCTTTTTTTTTTTCCCTTTCGCATGGGATTCTTTCGAGAACGCATTAAATAAATTCGATCTATCGGGTTCCGCGAAGCTCTGAGACAAAAATTTTAGGATATTTGACCTTGCCAATATCCATTAATAACTCGTGTGTTATTTATATGTGTCCGTAGGCAAAAACTCAAGATGGCCATGAAAAACAAAACGCGTATGGACTTCTACTGTGTACTGAGCAATTATTTCAGTTGGATTCTCACAAAATCACTTCCATCCTGCACGAATCAGCAATATTTAATAAGCATCTTATCATACGCAACTTGGATTAGACTGCAACCGGGATTGTTTACGGTGAGAAAAATACGGATACTGTAACATTTTTTATATAACGTAATTAAAAACTAACCAACATTTTACCTGGATTAGGAATGGAAGATATTAATGATCGAGGTCGTCTATCGCTTCATACCAGCAATTCCAGAAGATATAATTGTTAGTTTACTCTATGCGAGATGCCAGACTGCCGTCGATCTTATCAGACTCTGCATCCTTGCCAGGAACAGCCACCAGCGAGGCGTTATCCGATGAGGAATGTGAAACCCCCTGTACGTATACTGAATGTATCCTGAGTGTATTCCTGTCCGGTATACCTTCAGTATACGTAACAGGAGGCTACACCGAACAACGTTGAACTTCTTCATCGGCGCAGTTTCCTAATTATCAATAATCTTCATGCTATAAAACATAGAATCTTAACAAGATAGAGAGAATAATAAAAATAGAATCACTTAGAATAATAAGATATTTCAATTACCTAAGATGTCGCAAATTATACCTTGAATATAATTATTTGTTTATTTTAAATACTTTTAATGTAACAAATGTTGTTAAATGTTCACATGCTAATATTCGTAAATTTGTTGATTGTATAAAGAGTATTAATAAAAGAATTATGCATATAATTACATGTATAATATTAATATATTTTGGTATACATGCATGTACACATTTAGTATATACATATATATATATATATATATATTACATAGGTACAATATATATAAATCTTTCTCTTAGTACAAAAAATTATTTTTTGACAATAAATATTACGTTTTCTTAGCCGAACTTATACTATACTTATAAAGATGCTATTAATAATTTAATTAATTTGCAAAATATTTGTTTTATATAAAAGTTAAACTTCCTTTTATACAATAAAAATTGTATTATTTTCATCTTATATCCTTTGTAAAGTAATCTCTATATATTTTTAATAAAATTGAAATAATTACGCGTTATATAAATCATATTTAATAACCAACGTAATATCACGAATATATATATAAAACAGCAATGAATTTACTGATATTATTATATTTCTTTCAAGTACCTTATCCATAAATTAAATACATCTAACAATAAGTATTATATTGTGTACATGATAATAACATCTTTAGAAACCACAATTATGATAAGTAAATATACGTTGTATATATAATAATGTATTTTTGACAAAAATCGCAATCATAATATACATATTTTCTATAAATATAAAAATAAAAACGAAATATGCAATGTGTAAATTATGCATGTGTGTATGTATATAATTTAAGAATTGCATAACAAATTAAAGAATTAACAATTTAAAGAAGTATCAAGTTTTTATACATATCAACTGCTTTTCAAACAAAAAAATATATAAAATGTATATTTTTAAACGTATTTCGAAACTAACCTAAATTAAATAATATTTTTAAATTTGCGCTCTACTCTTTCCAGTATTTTTTTAAACAGCAAAATCTATTTTGAATAGAGCACAGTTAGTATTACTCTTTCAGTATTAATTAAATAAAATAGTCAATGTTACTTCTTAAAATTAGATAAGAAACACATAAAAAAAGAAATATCTTATTAATCCATAAATAAAAGAATTCAAGAAATCTCAAAATACATACAGTTTCGTGATATTTGTTTTAAATTGAAAAATATTTTTCGCTTGATCTGCGATAATTATTCTTTTTTTTAAATAATAAACTAAATAAAAAGAATTATTAGAAATTTTTAGTGAATTATTTTGTTTATATTTAAAAATTTAGCTCTGTTTTTTTAGATACACTTCTATAAGATTAAATAAAATAATTTACATATAAAAAAAGAGAACTAATACATATTATTTATTTATTACAATGTGCAACTAAAAAGCGTAAAATTAACTTTGTCGTACGTAGAGCACAAAACTTTCTAATAAATTTTCAACGATATAAATAAGAAATATATTGTTCCATTCAAAAGTGACATTTTTAGAGTAAGCGATAAACCTTCTTCGAATTTTATTGTATAAGATCAAGCTTGACAGATTTTTCCTTTTTTAGAGCGATCATAAAAAGAGTTAAAAGGAAAAGAATTCAGAGCATTATTGTCGCTGGTTGAAGCATGAAGGGTAAAAAGGGTTAAAGAAAGCAACTAAACGCAATAAAATTAGAAAGAGTTAGAAAGCTAGGGAAGGGTTGTCTATGGGTTAAAAATTTCACCTTTTTAGAAAATTCGTTCAGTTTACGTCAGGTAGCGAACGAGTGCATACGATCATAAGAATTTTCGAAGCAAGGTGCTGCTGGCAAAGGTTCAGAGTAGTAAGTTAATCATTTTATGCATTTATTTAAACTTATAAAGAATTTTGTTGAGAGATAATTGATCTCTTTGTCGATAACTGATTCCTCGTAACTCGTTTTAACTTAAATCTTGTTAAAAGCAATTTTTTAAATCTATTTTTCTGTATAATAATAATTTCTATGTAATTAAATTAATAATAACAAAAGAAAATACAGAAAATATATAAATAAGACGTCTTATGTTTCAAAAAATTAAAACATAAGACGTCTTATTTAAAAAATGTCATTAAAACGTTTTTTAGACATGTGAAACATCTTTAACATGTTTTTAAGATGTTCCGATTTTGGACATATGACTTGTCTAGGAATCTTTTCAATTCTAACAAAATATAGTTTCACGTAAAATTATTCGTGATATTAATAATATTTTCTGCATATAAAGCAGTTAAGACTATAAAATGTTAATCTTTCAATATGTCTACTTTGTCAAGAAATATTAATCTAACAGGCATTTAAAGAACTAAATATATTAATTTAAATACATATATATTATACACATATACTTTATAATTCTCAATATATATGTACATTCCGGTAGTTCCTATTCCTTTAAGGTAAAACAAATTATTTTTTACTAAAATGCATATAACAAAAACGATATTTAAACTTTTCTATAACAAAATTTTCTTAAAATAATAACAAATAAACTAGAATTTAGATAAAATTTTTAGTTATTATATTAAAATGATTAACAGGCAATCGTGGTTGCAAGAAATGCTATCACAAAGATGAAGTAGTCTTTAAATTTATTCTATAAAATAACAAAATAAATATTCAATTATTCAGGTAATCATAACGAGATAAAATCGTACAAAATCTTGATAAAAATATGCAAATGGACCAGAAAAATAACTCAAGCTTCTTTTTCACATAAATGAGGTATTGTGTCATCACTCGCGAATGCGGCGCTTTTCTATCGTAGACGTAGCGATATCTAGAACATCGAACTCGCGAAATAAATTTCACGTGGCCTCATGGCAAGGAACGCAAAGGGTCGCATAGCCGGAGGATAACTTTGAACATGTCCGACAAACATGAGAAATAATAAAAAATAAACCTAACTTTACTCGTGGCGAAGAGATCGACGAAGTGAGATAGAAGCAGTAGGGACGTAGGGGAAGAAGAGCGGAAGATAAGGATAGGAACAAAATTCAGAATGAGATGAAGGACGGGAAAAAGACGTCAGTTTAGAGCGAGAAAAACTGAGAGGAAGACAGAGAGATGTGCCATTGAGAGTGTTGGATAAAGAGAGCATCAAGGAAAGGAGACGGAATGAGAGACATAGCGATGGAGTAAGACGGAAATGGAGGTGCTCTCACTCTTTCTCCCTCTTCTCGCGGCCAATGAGTCGCCGTCGTTTTGATGGCCCAACCCTCGGAGCAACATGGCCGCCAAGTGCAAAAGGGAGCTTAAGTAAGGGTTAGGTTAGGCTAGGCTCTCGTCCTTTCTGGACCCGCTGCTTTTGTGGGAGAGCTGCGCGCGGATGGAGTGGGATGGGACGTTGTCAGCCATCATGGGATAGGAAGTGCAACGCTTCGTATCTCCATGGTTCTGGCAACTTTTGAAATAATGGAAACCTAATCCAAACGCAACTACTGCGTCTAAATAGCGTCTAAGTAGTAGATGATCGTTACTATTCGCCGGTATTTGCAACGAGTATCGTCTTAATTGCATCGTGTTCGGGCAGAGAATTTCCAATATCAACAGCAAGTGCACGTGAATTAAACTAATTTCAAACAAGTTATCATAGAGATTCTTGCAATATATTTTATTGGGTATTACAGAAATGTAGATCGCTATCATAAAATTCATGCAAACAACTTTCTGTCGTGATTCTGCTATGAGTGGAAAATGGAATTAATTTATCGCTAATTTTATTTTAAAGAAAACAGCGGTTCGGAGAGCTCGATCAAGTTAAATCGCTCACAGGAAAAAAGCAAACCGGTTGCTGACTTCACTGTTTGCTACCAAAAGCAGGTCTGCTAATTTATCATTTTTCGTATCGCTTGAACATATTCAGTGATAATTGGCTCCTAATCCGTAAGTTTCTGTGCGTACTAATATTAACGCAGCATTAACCTAACCTATGATATCGTAGAGATAATTACAAGAAATTTTACGCAAATAAAAGATAAGATAACACAATAAGAATCGCTCGAATGCATGTTTATCGTTTACTTTCATTAAAAAATACGGAGAAAATGTTATCGCTTTACTTTTAAGAAGATGTTTGCAAGTATTTCCTTCAAATATATTGTGAATTCATTCAAAATAATATCCGAATTTATGAACATTTAAACATTTATTAACGAATTAAAATAACTGTTTGATTAAATTATTATATTTGATTCTTTAGAAAATATTTTTTGTTATTTTTAATGCATATCATTACGTCAATATTACATTTAGATTATCGAAAACATTATATTATTTCAAGTATTTCTAATATTACTTTTACTAATTTTAACGTGTTTATAAGAACGATATTTTTCAAATTAGCTTTTAAAAATATGTGATACATTTCAAAATTACACGATTAGACATGTTAAATACTATAAAAATTTGATTTCAAAAATTTATTTTCTATATTTAATGTTTTTAATTATGATATTCTTATAGAATCAAACATTTAGCTTCGAATGACAATTCCATAGTTTCTCTCTCTAATTAATTTTTTTATTAGCAACAAGTGCGCTAGTTTTCTAACTAATTAGAAAACTAACAATTAAGAAGATATAATTTTATAAATTATATTTTTTAGCTTTGCTAGTTTTCTCATTAAAAATATATAGAATTTTATTTTTTCATTTTATTTTTTAGATGCTAATTTTCTAATTTGCCAAAACACTAGCATATTAATTTTCAGTAAAAAATATCGTGTAAATCAAGCTTTACCGTACGATAAAGTACTTATTGAAA